AATATGGAATTAATACTTCAAACTCATTTAAATTGGGACTTACATCTAAGTAAGTATAGTCTTTCCGAAGTCAATTGAACATGCATAAAAACGCCTAGCAATAAAATTTAATTAGTTTCATAGGGCTCCCTAAAAAAGTTTTCTGCTAAAGGTAAAAAATCATAATAATTTGTATACCTATAATGTGTAGAAAATTTCTATTATATGTTCATTTGGCCAACAACATATTTTAATTATTTATGTCCTCAAACAATGTTAATGTATTGATGGTAAATTTCGTTTTGTTCCGTTTCAACAGGTCTCCAAATTGCCATTTGTATAATAATATTAGTAAACAAAATATTCCTCTTATTTCTCCATTTCCCAATTGTAATATGAATGATTAATAGAAGATGCATATAATAAGTTAAAATTATCTGAATCACACCAAACTCCGCATTGCTGCACTGCACTGCTAGGCCATTTGTTGACAACTGAATTTATAGCCAGGTTGCCCAGTGCGGCTGTGTTTGTGCCACATTTGCCTGCGCGCTCATTCTTCAAGCGGGCGACCAGAGCTGTATATGGGTATGAATAAATAAATATGGGAACAAATTTTTCAAATATTTCAATGACAAGTTGCTGCGTCAGCGACCGAACTTGTTACATACTGCCAACCTCTTGGTTCTTCAATTGAGATCGGAGACCAACTGGGGGTTCAGAACAGCAAAAAAATATTGAAAAGAGGTCCGCGATAAATGAAAGGTTAAGAACCGACGATCTAGGTAATTAAATATATTAACCTTATGAAACATGAAAAGGAAATGTTAAATTTGTAAAGTGCAGTCAGTTTAACTGGACTTGCAAAATTCATTTGAAAAACATTGAATACGTGGGCTCCTCATAGCTCGTCCCTAAACCTGGAAAGTGTTTACAACGGTGGTCATGGTTACTGTCGCGCAGCAGTGAAAGTATTGTTTCTGGTGTGTTTTTAAAAATATTGCAAAAGTTTAAATTAGATTTTAAAGACAAACTAACGACACTTGCAACGCTATCTATTGAAATATCAATGGTGCGAGAAATACCAAACTTTAATGAAAAAGTAATTGAAAAGTTTATTTCAGACAAATGCAGAAGAATTGACTTTCACTCATTCTTTTGTAGCAGCATCAAAAATACTTGGTTTACCTAACTACTTAATCATAGACTGTAGACCGAATTGTGTTTTTGTAGTTGTTTTTTACATATTTTAAACTATAAAAATGTAGCAATTGTAATGTTTAGAAATATCGACTAACGCATAAATTATTAAAATGATTAATAATTCAAATAACTAATAGGTACTGAGATAGATGAAGAAAATCAAATTATAATACCGCTGACGTATTCCCGTTTCAGTAATACTGCAAAGCCATTAGATCACTCAAGGTTAAAGTTTGCCTTCTCTAACGATCCTGACACGAGCCAACTTTTACACAGGAATATTTGACGTTTTCTGTCAACTTTATGGAAATATAAGATGTCATCTAGTATCTCCCGTCTCGACTTAAGTTTTACAGAAACCCCGCAGAACATATAGTATAGTCTTTCCTATATCAATTGAAGAACCAAGAGGTTGACAGTATGTACCAAATTCGGTCGCTGACGCAGCAACTCGGTATTGAAATATTTGAAAAACTTGTTCCCATATTTATTTAGCCATACCCATACACAGGTCTGGTTGAACTAAACGTGGTGGTAGAAATGTATACGCCCAGTTGAAGAATTCGAGCGCGGGCAAACGAAATACAAACACAACTGCATTGGTCTACTGGACAATAAATCTCAGCTGTTGACAAGTGGTTGACATATTGCCCAGCAGGTGCAGTGCAGCAATGCGGAATTTGGTGTGATTCAGGTAAGTTTAATTTATTATAGGCACCTTCTATTAATAATTGATATTACAATTGCGAAAGGGAAAAATAATATTATTATTTTTGAAACAGAACAAAACGAAATTTACCATCAATATAATATAATTGTTTGAGGACAAATAATTAAAATACGTTGTTGGCCAAACGAACATATAATAGAAATTTTCCACACATTATATACAAATTATTATAAAACTTTTTTAGGGACGCCTATGAAAGTCATTAAATTTTATTGCCAGGCGTTTTTTACATGTTCAACTGACTTCGGAAAGACTATAATAACTATGCATTTATACAAAGAAACGCCTCAACACTCGGTTGATCCAGGTCCAAATACTCCATCCCTACACATTTCCACCTAGATACACTACTTAAGACACCGATAAATTTAATTGCCGAATAATACTCGGTCCATTACGGGACAGGTGCCTATTCGAGACCTCGATAAATAACGCGTTCTTCTTTAAAACCGAGTGGATGAGGCCGACAGTGATTGACCGGCTTCTCATCGCCACCTTATTGGTACGAATTAGTTCCGTGAACGACGCGACCACCTGGCCAGTGCAGCGTTATTAATAAATCGTAAGAGGTATTCCCTCAAGAAACATCTGTAGTCCCACGGTTAGATCACTTCTAAACAGATTATGACGTTTACTTCAAGGTCGGAGACGCGTCTAAATGTTAATCCGAGTTGTCCAGTTCGATGTTGTTCGAGAAAATCCAACAGGCTCATTTTAATTTATATTCGGAAAATATAGATCATAATTAGTTGTTGAGCAAAAAATCTGAATTTGTTTCAACAATTTCTCCCTTAAAATGAATTAATGCAAAAGGAGCACGAGAAAACGCACGGAAGCCATGTTGTGACGTCATACCACTCGTTAAGGGCTAGCCCACATGGCTGAGCGTCACGTACATTATATGATTAATTGATTAAGTAATATTCAAAACGTTTTTCATACACAAAACTATTACATACTTATTGCTTACAATAATACTGTTTTAAAACACACGACCAAAACAAATAAAGAGTGTTCCAAAAGTAACGCACGATTACAAAAAAGAACGGACCAATCACCCCACCAGCTTAAAATCCACACCACATGTCACTCATTGACCAGAGGATTGATCTCTGCTCCAAATTCAACAGTTTTGCTTACCTTCTATTGAAAATTCCACGTAATTTTCGCACACTCTCAGCTACACACTCTTTGTACTTGTAATGAATGAATAAGTGATTTTATCTTATAGTTTCCATATTTGAGAGAAAGAGCACTCTTATGTAAAAATATAATTTTACAAATGAACGGATTTATCTCCTTCTTGCACTACTCTTCAGTTGTGCAAGATATAGTGCGATTTTTGATTGGGCAAAAGTAGTTTAATAAAAATAACCCTTAACTGATCCTTTTAGCGCAAAGGTTTCTTTAATCAACTTTTAATGCTTTTCACAGACGAAAAAACACCAATAAACAGGAAAAAACTAAAACTATGCCAGAAATAATGTGAGACAACAGATAACAACGTATAAAGCGGTCGGGCTGAGCCAGTCGAGTGATGTGACGTCACAGCAGGGGCCGTTTCAAATCTTTTACGAATTAGAAATTATTAAAGCTATCGACCTGATTTTTCCAGGATATATTTAGGGTGTCAAGAGCTTAAGGAAAATGTGAAATTAAGTTATAAACTAAACATTATCCGAAATGATGAAACATTTTGTCTGTCTTTATTACCAGGCTTAGGAAATTTCGTACGCCACTGGCTTTTACGTTCGGCCCGAGAACGATTTGTCGGCCGCCGCCGGAAGCCAAATTGTTCCGGCCCGGAAACCGACGGGCTAAACAGCGAAACTTTTTTTTTATTGCGACGCAAACCGGCGATTGACTCGTTCGGCGTCTCGACGGTCTTTTTGCCTTGTCGTGTCAAGTGGGCGGTGGACGGAGGGACCGACGTCGTAATTGGAGACGCCATTCGGCGAGGAATAAAAACTTTACGGCCAGTTTGGGGTTAAATCTAGATTACCGAGTGTCGCAAGTCGGGGGACAAACCGCGACCAAAATTTGTACACAGGATATCCCGTCCGCTTTCAAAGTATATCTATGGATATAAAAGGACATCTAGGGATATTTCGGGAAACCTGTGGACATTCCAGGATATATGTGGACATCGTGGGATATCTGTGACTATCCAGTATCCACGTATCAATAGCGGTTTACCACTCGTCACAAATAGATACATGGTACCTACATACAAGAAAAATAATGATGCAGATGCAATAAATGATTGTGGCTAAATCAAAATTTTGATCCTAGTGAAGTTAAATCTGATACAAAATTTTTCCAGTTGACAAAAATTTTGAACTATTCTTTATTTCACCAGAAAAAAAAGATTCATGTTTCAAAATGGATACCAATATCTTCTTTCAATTGATTATTAGTCTGCAAAATGTCAGACGGAGCCAAACCCCGACTAATAGTTAGTAGTCCGACAGAGGAGTAACAAGGGCGGAGTATGGATTGGACGTCGACTATTTCGGGATTGGTGGGTGAGCCCATTGCATGTGGATAGATCCCAGTGATGTTCCAAAGTGTATTTTTAGAGAAAAGTTATGGTCTACATTCAAAAATATCAAATAATTTTGAGAAATTTACAATCCACGGATTTTTTGTTCGGGAATCAACAGATTTTGAACCCCTTTGATAAAACCTTACTCATGCCTAGTTTATCATGAAGAATTATTTAAACAATTAGTTCAGATATTTGTATTATTAACAATAGTAAACATTTTCAAGTCACGACATTCGAGAATCAATATTGCCATTTCCTTGCAAATGTCAGGATTGGTTGGGCTGAATGCCACTTATTCGTTCATCGTCAGAGGGTTCAGGACCTCACCGAAATCGCCTTGACCAACATTTTACTTTAGAATCAGACGCAGCTTCGTCGCCATATACCTTCAGTCTATGTCTATTATGTTCCTTAGTTAAATATTTGATGACACTGCTTTCTCTAATAGCATCAATTCTAGCATCAATTTTTATCGAAAATACATTCTTTCGCACATTTAAATAGTTAATAAGAATTATTGATGCCACAATAAGCACTCACCTGACGTATTCCATCGAAAGGCTTATACAGTCCTTGGGGTTGAAGATGGTCCTCTCAGTGTCCTCCCCCCTCTCCTCCGGAGACACCCTGACGGCTATTTGGGGATACTGTTGGTAGAACAGCTTCCGCCTGGTCATCTCTTTCAGGAACAACTCGGGCACCAACTTGTAAACGATGTCTTGAAGGGTCTTGTCCAATCTGAAAACAACAGAATGTTGGCATAGGACAGAGGCTAGGGACATTCTGAAGAAGATATATATGTATTCCACTAAGAATTAGGGGCAAGAATGATAACAGTATAGAGGGGATGACTTAGTGAACACCAAAGGCTGACCAAAACAAAGGCCATCGTTCATTTTAATCAGTAAAAAGATTATTCTAGCACTGCTCACGTAAATATCAACAAGTCCAATTTATTTAATGATCTGGAGCTGCGGTAATAGTAAATTGTTCTATTTTAAGGTAGGTAATGAATAAGCAATAAATGCTGAGCTTGTTGCTTTGAAAGCGTTTTATGTCAGATAATTTGTATGACTATTTACCAAATTTTAATTGTATTTCAGTGATATTTTCATCTAAATTGCTACAAGTGTCGAAATTACACTTTGGATCTATGTAACCTCCATTTCGAACGAACCTAAAAGTTATTTAACAAACAAACACTTCAGACCGATCGAGAGCATGTACAAAGAGAAAAATCGCAACGTTTCGACGTGTCCGAATTCCCCCCTAGCCCTTCTATTGTCTCCTGGAGATCCGCCACGTGGGGCCCACGCTGCTCGACCGCCCCCGCCACCCCGCGGCACGCGCCGTCGTCTTCTGGGCATGCTCGCTCCTCTGGCTCGTCAATAACGTTTCCGTCGAATAGAGGAGGAAGTCGATGATGTCGTTCATAGCTGGCCTCGTGCCGGCGTTTTTTTTTTTTTTTGGATCGTAAGCATGTGGTTAGTAGATATGGGTGTTGGAGATAATGTAATGATAATGATCGAAACGCTAACATAATAGCCAGGATTTTTGTCGTTTGTGAAGTATAGACGTAAATTTATCGTCCACAAGATAATGAATGCGGTTTTTCCAATAAAGAATAAAAACAATCATTACGGGAGACAGTGTTACCCATTCCAGATAACAAAACCATATTGGATGGAACCTGTTATGAAGAAATTTAATTACCATTTTTGTTTGTCACGAAATGCTTTGATAAACAATGATTTTATATTTTTAAATTCAAATCTTAGCTATGCGAAAGCCTAACCTTTAAATCAAAAGTGGCAAGCTGTCTTCTGTCTGAAATACCATTATTTTTAACATTTGATAAAGACTGAGGGCATCAACTATGCAAGACTGTGTAGCATTGGCAGGTTTTGGGGAATCCCTTTATTGAATTTGAAAAAATTGCTGACTTCGGGGCTAATAAGCCTGCAACTGTTACGTTGTCGGCAGATGGTCTCCTTCGCTTAGTTTCCGATCGCTACCGAGGAAATATGAAGCTAAAGGGTCCACTTTATTAGATTATAATTTAGGGTCGAGTGCAGATAACGGTAGAATTTTCGATAGAAAGACGTTACAGCAAATTTCCTTCACTCCACCCCAGTTTTTTTATTGATATTTTTAAAGAAATAACTGGAAGGGTTACTTACATTCACATCAATTTTGACCGTATCTAAAATTATCTTGAAAAAAATAAATGGTATGCACCTTTAGTTTATCTCAAAATCAACCAAATACTACAAATGTTACTACAAATAATCGCAAATAATCTTATAGCCAGAGTTAGATTTCGAGGAACTACAAATGAAATAAGCGCTACTACAAATGGTTTTAGATACCTAGCTCGGATTATAGTAGTAACTATGTTAGATTTCGAGGAACTAACAAACGAAATAAGCGTCACTACAACGTCAGTTGCGTCAGTTTTGGAAGAACTACAAACGAAATAAACACTACTACAAATGATTTGTTCTTTGACAAAACTGAGGCAGCTATAGCTACTGTACAGCGTACAACTATTAACGATTTTACAGCCATAATGTTAAATTTTCGAGGAACTACAAACGAAATAAACACGATTTTAGATACCTAGTTTGGATTACAGACTCTATATTAAATTTTGAAGAACTACAAACGAAATAAACGCTACTCCGAACAACTACAAACCATTTCATAGTCGGAAGTCGAAAAATAATAACTGAAGCAGCTTTAGTTACAGTAATCAGTAGAATCAGAAGCGTTTCTACAACCAGAGCTAGTGGTATACTCTCTACGCTCTACGTCAACTATGAACTATTTAACAGTCAAAGCTTGATATTCTTGATAAATACATTCAACACGTACATAGACATTTTGGTCATAGAGTGACTATAGTGATTGATGGTTATACTGATTATAAGAAAAACATTTAAGCTGCAGAACAACGTCGTCGAACTACAAAAACATCTTCATCTTCTCATGTCATTTTTGATCAATTTATGATAGTTCCAACAAACCAACAATAATTTCTTGCAAATACTCACAACAAGTCTCGCTTCATTTCAATGTTATGTGAAAAATTTGCAACTGCGAACATTGTACTAAAACAAGCTGATAATGACAATGATGTCCTTATAACTGAAACAGCAATAGAACAAATCAATGAAACAAATACAACTATCGTTGTTGGTGAAGATGTCGATTTATTAATACTACTGACTGCACGAACTCCATTTGACAAGATTGTTTATTTTTTGAAATCTGGGAAGGCTCATCAACAATCAAAAATATATTCATCAAAGAGTTTATCTGCTTATCCAAAATGTCAAATCATATCTTATTTTTACATGCAATAACTGGCTGTGATACTATATCAGCAATGTTCAGAAGGGGTAAAACATCAGTATCTAAATTGTTTAAAAAACGTAATGATTTAATTGATTGCGCAGAAGTATTTAAAAAGATTGACTCTTCTATAGAAGTCATCTTCACAACCGGGATTCGCTTTCCACTTACTGTATATGGAGCTCCAAAAAAAATGATTCTATAGACAAGTATAGATATTTAAGTTTTGAAAAAAATACACGAAACAATAAAAGAGTACCAACTATCTTGTCATCCTCCAATATCTGCTCCTGCTTATCAACACTTATATCGATTATACTATCAAATTCAAGTGTGGCTAGGGAATCAACTGAACCCAGAAGACCGGGGTTGGAAATTAATAGATAACATTTTGGAGCCACCAATTCATAGATATCCAGCAAGAGGAAAAAGATGAAGAAAAAAGCGAAGAAGACATTATTGTTGAAGTAGCATTTGTGGATTATCAGATAGATTAAAATTTTCCCGAAATTCACAATAATTTGTTCCAGTTTAATCATAACCAATAGTACCATTTTTTATTGAATATAATATTGTCTTATAAAACTGAATCACAATCGATCGTGAAGTATGCTTACCGGGGAAACCACGTTAAAAAAACGCGCCGAGTACACTACCGCATAGGTGGTGCGGAGATGTGTGCATATCATGTAGAATGCAAGTTCTTCAACTTTTCAAATGGTGATATCTCAGGAATGATGATGTATACCTATCTTGTCTTCCTCCAACATCTGCTTCTGCTTATCAACACATATCGATTATACTATCAAGTTCAAGTGTGGCTAGGGAATCAACTGAACTCATAAGGCTGGGGTTGGAAATTAATAGATAACATTTTGGAGCCAACAATTCATAGATATCAAGCAAGAGGAAGAAGATGAAGAAAAAAGCGAAGAAGACGTTATTGTTGAAGTAGCATTTGAGGATTATCAGTCAGATTAAAATTTTAACAATAATTTGTTCTAGTTTATTCATAACCAACAGTACCATTTATTATTGAATAGAATATTGTCTTATACAAAACTGAATCACAATCGATCGTGAAGTATGCTTACTGGGGAAACCACGTTAAAAAACGCGCCGAGTACACTACTTCATAGGTGGTGCGGAAATGTATGCATATCATGTAGAATGCGACTTCTTCAACTTTTGAAATGGTGATATCTCAGGAATGATGATGTATAACTATCTTGTTTTCCTCCAACATTTGCTTCTGCTTCTCAACACTTATATCGATCATATGTACTATCAAGTTCAAGTGTGGCTAGAGAATCATCTGAACCCAGAAGACTGGGGTTGGAAATTAATAGGTAACATTTTGGAGCCAACAATTCATAGATATCCAGCAAGAGGAAGAAGATGAAGAAGGCGAATAAGACATTATTGTTGAAGTAGCATTTGAGGATTATCAGTCAGATTAAAATTTTCTCGAAATTAATAAAATTTGTTCCAGTTTAATCATAGCCTAACAGTACCATTTTTTATTGAATAGAATATTGTCTTATAAAACTGAATTTCAATCGATCCTGGAGTATGCTTACCGGGGAAACCACGTTAAAAAAACGCGGCGAGTACACTACCTCATAGGTGGTGCGGAAATGTGTGCATATAATGTAGAATGCGACTTCTTCAACTTTTGAAATGAGGATATCTCAGGAATGGTGCATGATATACAATTTTTCTCTGATCTATTTTTATGATGAAAAATGCAAAAACCGATATTTACGATCTTTGACCTTGAATACATTTTTTAGTACGCATGGGATCGGTGGGGACTTTACTTATAATAGTGTACCAAAGACCTACAACAATATTTAGCTCTATGCGAATTATTGTAAATTCAAATATCTATTTTGACCGGATTAATGACGAAAAACGTGGTCTACTACCCTAAATAAAGGACCAAACAATCATCCCAAGCACGTGTATCGTTCGATCGAGCACCTGTTTGGTCCTTCCCGGCGGATGGCAGTCCGAAAAAAGACACCGCGGCGGCGGACACCCGAGGGCTATCCTCCTAATTACAATTAAGGCCGAGATTTACATAACCGCCGTCGCCGGGCCGGTAGAGTTCGGCTCGTCGCCTAGGCCGGCGAATAGAAAACGTGGGAACGCGCCGCGCGCGACCGAGACGTCCGCCAGAGAGAGAAAGACGACGGACGGGCCGATGGAGAAACTTGAATTCCGTCTGGCGTTCCGCCGTTGTTTGGCAAAAGTCACGGCTAGGCGACTTTTCAGCGATGTTTCGAAACGCGCCGCGGTCTACTCGGTGCGTTGCGGTGGGGTAACGGCGCGGCGCGGGGACGGGGTTGGAGGCCGGGGTCCCCCGATTGACGAAATTGTTATCTCCCATCGGGTACTGATCGACTCGTTTGGGTTGTCGCGAGTTTTACCCGACTTTCACCGAGTACGCGGGAATGTATAACATTATAGCCCATTCGCGGTTGTACGACTCCGATTTGACCTTGGCTAGCGCTTGAATTAACAAAAATTCTAAGTAAATCCACAGTTCTTTAATGCGGCTGCCTAACGTCTACAGAATAAAGTTCTAACTCCTTATCAAGAAATAGCAGCTTGAAGATTAATTAATTAATCCACTTAATTATTGTTAATGACATTAATATGATTACGGAATTATGGATAGAGCGGTCATAATGTGTGACATACCGGATCATTCAATGGTGACATGTAATATTAAATTAAAAAGAGACAAATTATCTCCTGTTGTACGAATCTATAGAGATTTCTCTAATTTTTCTTACGACATTTTCTTAGTAGATTTGATGGCAGTAAGGTGGGGTGCTAATACACATTCGATACGTCTAGTGAAATGGTACACTTCTTAAATGTTAATTGCAATATACTACTTGATAAGCATGCACCTTATAAAACATCTAGGTTCACTAATCCTCTAACCCCTTCCTTGGCTAACAAGTAATCTTAAAAAAATAATGAAACTGAAGAACAGGGCTTTTATTCGATATAAACAAAACAGGACTGCACAGGCATGGAAGAATCTAAATTATATATCAAAAACTGATCCCAAAAGTTTTTGGGCTGCACTTAAACATTTAAATTGAAAAAACAGAATTTGTCAATTAGTAATGATGACCCCAATGCTGTAAATGATTTTTTTTATAGATTCTATACCTAATGTACGTGTTTCATTGAATATAGTGAAAATTTTAGATAAGTATGATCATATATGTAGCAATATTGACCAGCTGTTTGAGCTTACTGGGGTCAATGCTGAGAAAGAATTAAGAAAATTGAAATCTAACGCTACAGGTGCAGACGGAATGAACATAAAAACCTTAGACTTATTTTTTTCCACAATTAATCGGGCATTTCACCTTTATTATTAATAGGTGTCTCACTTCAGGAGAATTTCCCGATATTTGGAAAGACATACTTACACGTCCTGTTGCTAAAATCAAAAATCTCACAAACCTGTCTCATTTTAGACCCATCAGTCTATTACCTACACTTTCTAAGGTTTTAGAGAAAATCGTATGTAAGCAACTTAATTTTTATTTTATTGCAAGTCATATTATACCATTGCATCAATCGGGAATTAAGGCTAACCATAGCACAACTACAGCCCTTTTAGATGTCACAGACGATATACTCCGATCAAATGACAAAAATCTTAGTACTTTGCATGATTCTTTCTGAGATTTAAGCAAGGCCTTTGATACGTTGGACCATAATATTCGCTTAAAAAACTTAAATATTTTTGGTCTTGGAGATATTCCCCAATTATTCTTTAAAAATTATTTATGCAACAGGCGTCAAAATGTGCTGTATTGTGATAAATCTTTAGATTTCAGGGTTACAAATAAAAGAGTTCCTCAGGGTAGTGTATTGGGCCCTTTATTATTTTGTCTACACTGCAGATTTTTCTACATAGTTGCAAAATTCACCAGTATGCTGATGATATACAGGTATATTATTCATTTCCATATAGTAATATTAACTGATGAAATAAATTTAGACATGCGGAAATTTTCACGGCTATGTACTGCTCATAAACTTATTTTGAACGAGGCCAAAACAGATCAGTTGCATCAGATATTGCTTTGCCTTAAGAAAATTTGATCATATTGTATTGCATAGTTTATAAAACTGAAACATTTGAATCCCCTGTTTATCTATGCAACAAACTAGTAAAAGGCAGTGAAGTAGACAACCGTTCCACCCGATATCGACATATGTACTTGGTTCCTGAGCTCATAAAATATTTTTTTAATCAGAAATCCCACTTCTGAAAACTTTCTTGCCAACTGAAATCAACGATCGCCTCCAGCTCCACCCCCAATTCGATGAAAATTTTACGCCTCTGGTGACATTCGAGTCGTCCACGGCGCGTCGTCAATATTTAACACATTAATCAATTAGAGGCACTTATTTTAATTATCGAATTAAATGATTAACAGCGCCAAAGGCGGTAGGTAACAGCGGACGCCGACGGAATCAATATCACGACAGCAACTCGACTGTAAAATGAGATTTTACAAGGGCGAGACGAAATTTCACTTTGAACGGCCCGCGAGCGATACAACGCAACTTTTGGGTGCGGAAAATGGCGTCTGCGTCCTTGAAATACTACCGCGCATATCGTTTTTAACAAAAATCCAACGAGGCATCCCGTTAAAATATACGAGAAAATGTGTATACTCAGTATGGACGAAGTTGGACCAATGGCCACAATATGCACCCGATCTTAGCCTCTTGAATATTCTAAAAGTTTCACAAATAAGGAATGTAAATGGAATATCATCAAGGGAGGTACATGTAATAGTGACAAATGCAATTTTAACTTTAAAGAATTAATAATAGTCCAAAAATTAGTTGAAGTGGAATACACACAGAAAATCTTTCCCAAAATGTCGGAACAATAACTTAAATAAGCTGTACTTACTTCAAATTGGGCTTGGCCTTGTTAATGATGACCTCGCAGACGGGGCAGAAACTATTCTCCTGCAGGAACTTGATGATACAGCTTCGACAAACTGAAAAATATAAATTAAAAAAAATTTATTCAAAAATTAATAAAGTGGCCTTAAGAGAGACAGTTGAGGTGAATCTAGTCTGTTCGATCTTAGATAAGTCGAGGTCTAAAGCTTTAAGCTACCTACTAGTTCAAAACTGGCCTCAAGAAAGATCCTTGAGGCACATCGGATGTAAAATTTAAACAATATCGACACCTATTAAAAAAGGAACTTTGGCTTATCTACAGGGTGTCCCGAATTTTAACTACGGAAATTCGGAAACCCATAGGGGAAAATTTGTATTCGAACTTCCACCAGGATCAAATGAAGATATTGAGACAAAATTTTGTGTACACAATGCACATGGAATATTGTATTTGAGTTCTTAATATAGATTATTGTAATTATTAATACAAAGCCTTCATAACGATTACAAGTCACGTGACCACTAATTTTGTTTGAAACTGCAATCGGCGATCGCATTATCTCGAGCGTAGACGTAACAGTTTGTCACTGTTCGTTGTAAACGAATCATTAACATTGCTGCCGCTAAGATCTAGGGATTTTTAGTTGACGATACCAACTGTGGTTGGCTTGGTTGCCTAAGCTCGACGGTCACGTGGCTTGCAATCATTTATGAATGCTCCGTACGATATAGTTCGTATCAGGATATGCTTAGAACATCGCGAACCACCCTTATTTTGGTATTGACGTAAGCGCGACACATAACGATCGCTTCGAGGCCTTCATATACCGAAACGAACTATACCTACAACAGGAAACGCTGTCGCTATCGCCACGTACGGCCTTCCTCCCAGCCACAACGAGTCCCTCTTTACTTACACGAATGCAAACATTCCGATATAGTGGTGGCGTCTACTAGATATCCCTTACACAGATAACAGGTCAGATAAGGGTTTATCTCCCTCAGTTTTATCTTCTCCGGCCTCCTCGCGGGCAACTCCATGTCGACGGTGAAACCTGGAAAAGGGAGGTCAGGAAAAGCGTGTTATCTCACAAAAAAAAAAACATTTTTAACATACTAGTGGTAGTTTTTAGAAAAACTATTTTCGTTTTTGTAAAAACAATTTAATACGACTTGCCAAGTGTCAAAAACTGTATTATCAAAATATACCATCTAAAATACAAGATGAGGAGAACTTTTGCAAGGTACAAAAAAAAAGGAACAAATACAATTATTGGTCATTTTTGTAAGATAGATTTTGATAAGATTTTTAATTTGCGCCAGGTGCGTGGCCAAATAGTATAGGCAAATAATAGCTAAGACTAAAGTGGATAAAAATACACAAATAAGTTTGCATCTGAGTCAGTCCCGTCCGTAAATGCGCACCAGACGCAGTAAGCGAAACACTCCTATCTCAAATCGTCGCGCCTGCGTCTTATTCCTTCTAATCGAATTAGTTCCTTATCAACCTCGCGCAACTCTGACCAAGACAGAAACAGAAACTTATTGTATCGGCCTGAATGTTACTTTTGTAACTTTAATTAACTCCATCACTGTTTGAAATGAAATTTCTAAATAAGAATTAGTAGTACAGATTCAAAAAAGCATTTTTAAAATACCCTACCGTTTATTACATTTTGAAACATCAGTCCCATGTATGCTAATTTTTTTCAGATAAAACATTTAAAAAATCATGATAATTTTAAAACTTTAAGGCCTGGTACTTTGAGTCTCGGTTAAAGCTTGATTAACTGATTAGATTGTACATATCCTGATTTATTTTATAAAATATAATCACAGTTTAATCGCTTGATTAGTTAATTAAGCCTTAATAGAGAGTCAAAGTACCGGGCCTAAATATAATTATTATTTGTTTTAGATTAAAATCATTAACACGGAACTGATGTGATAGTAAATAATGAACAGTAATAAAAATAAAGCGAATTTTATTGTCAAGCCTTTCGTTACCACCAAGAAAATGGGTCTATCTTTTGGTTCAAGATAAAAAAAATACTAATGACATACTCAAGCTCGATTTTCAAGACAAATTCAACTGACAAATCAGATATTTGATATCTTCGCTGCTAGATTGGTTAGGATTAAAGTAAAATTGGCCGACTGGTGATACTAGTTTTTTAGTAGGTCCCATGGTTACTGAGCTGTAAAGCACTTATAATTTTTTTTTAATAAGAACGATAATTGGTTATGGTCTAAAAAGATATATTTTTTTATTTGAACTAGTTGACTAGTATAATAATCTAATTAATAGGCCGCCAAAAATTCCTCACCTTACTTTTATTAGAAGTTCTGTTTTTTCCCCAAAGAAATTTGCAGCAACTAATAAGTATATCAGGAAACAGAAAAGAGACATGTTCCATCAAAATAAAATAATAATTTATAGCATTTCCAGTATTTAATAAAAGTAAATTATTGCCAACTAGTTCCAGTAAAAAAAGTCCTACGCATCTCCCATATTTGTTGAAATAACTATGACATGTCACATCAATGAAAAACAAACATAATTTATTTACACCAGTGCCTGCCAAACTTTTTTACCCAACGGCACCCTGGGCAAGAATTTGTTTCAAGACATTGAATAAAAGTCTCAACGAAGTTAAATATTGTATCAGTATGAATAAAGATGAATAAATTCTTAGTACAATAACAATAATAATAAATATAATATTGTTTTATCAATAACGGAAATATATTTAAAAAGGAATTTATAAAATTGAAGTGGGTAAAAAAATTAACAAAAAAAATGGTTTCTAAATGTTTCTTGAACAATTTGCAAAATAATTCAAACATAAGAAACTTTTTAGTAAAATTTAAAATATCTTAAACAAAACAGGAAATGTAGTCATTTACAGGTATATAAGAATCTCCTTAATATCTACAAATGCTAGGGTCAATGTTTCTCTAGAGTCCATATTTTTATTATCGCTTAGCCTAGATGGACTTAAACTTATGATCAATCAAAGCCTATTCCCCCAACAAATAATTTTACTCATGTTTTTAACTTTTATGCGGCACACCGTTTGACAGACACTGATCTGGATCATCGCACTCTCCCCATTAAAAAATATGTATATTTGTTTCGTATTCATCATCGTAATAACAAAATTTACTAAAAAACTATCATTAATTGATTTGTGGTCTCCCAAGTTTCGACCGGATTTCAAATTTTCGCCCTTCTTTCCAATCGGAACCACGAAGTTGTCTCTAACCGCTTACGCAGGGCCAATCCCAGTCAAAGTGAAGAGGTATTGCATGAAAAGGCGCGTAGAGGAAAATAATTCAATTCCAAAATAGACGACACCGCCAGAGGCCGATGTTTTAGTCAGAGCAGCTGCAATATAAAATTCACTTCAGTGCGAACTGAAGAATCACAAAATAACTGTAAGAGACTATGCCAAGAATACAAGTCGATCATCAGTTGCAGTTGGCGATATTCCAAAGATGGGTAAAATTCAGAGAGGCCAATTGTCCAGACCTCTGCGGACTCATCATGGGGCGAGATCGAACGTCGACCCTGATGCTCTTCAGTTCAATAACCAGCATCGGCTCCTGGCCTGCACATATTGTACATTCCAAATTGTATACATTGTTTTATATACCAATACTACATAAACATATTTATTGTGAATTAAAACAAAAATTTCAATAAATATACAAATTTACAAAAATTTAATTCGACAAATTTTCATGAACTCAAAACTCCCATTGCCTCATAGTACACTACCACCTAGGCTTTGTCCACCCGAGGTCCACCCTTAGGGATACACAAATCCTAAAGCTGAAATATACAACTCCTAAAACTCCACGGAGACAAATAATCAAATCAAGCTCTTAAAGTAGCAGTAAATGACAGTGATATAGACATCAGAGTGTCGCCAAAAGCAGTAGTGCAACGATGCTCAGTTGAAACCCTCCAGAAATCCGTGCCATCCCGAGGTGCACCAGAGTAGAAGAAGGCAACAAAAAAAATTTGATCGATTCCCATATTTTCCGAAATATACATCGCTACCGATGGAAGACAATCGTGCACATCCCCAAGCATTCCTTGACGTCGGCGGGATGAGGGAAGCGTTAGAAAATCCAGTTGACCCTCTCCCAACGAACAAACAGGTGATGAAATCTCAGCACCGCAGGCAGTACATGAGGATCTCGGTGAAAATATTGGTTATCCTCATACTAGAGTAAATTCACGAAAAAAATATAAAAATGGTGAAAGACGACAGATTCTTCGTCTAAAAGTTTATATAGGACGGTTATTTCTTTAATTTTAGCTCATTTGGAGAAAGAAGTGAACGAAAACGTTTCAAAAATCAATATTGCCCTGTAACTCGAAGACAAATGAAGACACCAATCTAATTTAACAGCTGAATTTGCTTAAAATTCAAAAACTCAAAAAAATATCTTATTTTTAGTAATTTCCGAGATTTCATTGAATTCGACTCACTGTGAGTGACGTGTTTCATTACGAGCGTTCAAATAAAAACGTGGTCAAGTTGGTTCTGAAAATTTGGACGTAGGGCGTAGCGTATAGCAAATGAACTTAAACGTCATCTATCAAAGCGTTATATCGCCGCTATCAATTTGAATATTTTCGTTTTAAAAAGCGTTTAAAATGGTGTTTTCTCAAGAACAAAAAGTGTTTATCATAGAGTCCTACTTTAGAAATGGACGCAAGATTATGAAATATGGAAGTATTCTATTGAGGAATGTTTCATAGAATTTCAAAATCAATTTCCCGGCGTTGTTGAGTACAAAATTTTTCAAAGTGCAGTTCAGCGTTGTGTTAATGTTTTTCGTGAAACGGGCAGTGTAACAAGAAAAGAAGGAAGCGGCCGACCTAAAAAGCGGACTGAAGAATTAAAAGAAAATGTCCAACAAATAATGGAAAATGCGCCAAGAACTTCTGTACGTGTTTTATCACAAATGGTGGGAGTATCAGTCGGTACCTGCCACACAGTGTTAAAAAAAGATTTGCGTTTGTTCTCCTATCGTTTAACTTGTCAGCAAGAACTTCATGAAGTTGATTTTCCGCGACGGGCTGTATTTTGTGAATGGTTTTTAAACAACTACGGTGAACTTCATAATATCACCTTTTTTTCTGATGAAGCCTGGTTTCATTTAAGTGGTTACGTAAACTCACAGAATATGAGAATGTGGTCTTCTGAAAAACCAGATAACTTTTTTGTCGAGGGCCCTCTACACGCTCAAAAAATTGGAGTTTGGTGTGCTCTCAATCGAAGGAGGATTTATGGACCTATTTTTTTTAATGGTACTCTTACTGCGCAAAGGTATAGAGAAGAAATTATCGCTCCTTTTGTTAACCAGCTGGAAGAAAACGAAATTACAAACTTTTACTTTCAACAAGATGGCGCAAGGGCACATACGGCAGGCGAGACGATGAATATGTTGAGGGAAGTTTTCCAAAATCGACTAATAAGTCTCAATGCTGAACATGAATTTCCACCGAGGTCATGTGATATTACGCCGTGTGATTTCTTTTTGTGGCCTTACCTTAAAAACACTATTTTTGAACTGCCTATTCCTGATTTAAACCATCTGCAGGCTCGACTTATAGACAAGATTCGTGAAATTAACAATACCCCGAGCATCTTAGAAAATGTCTTTAATTCTTTGAGGAACAGGTGTGAAAAGTGCTTGGAACAAGGAGGGGGACACTTTCAGCAGCTGCTTTAATTTATTGTTATAACAAGGAGGGGGACACTTTCCGCAGCTCCTTTAATTGTTTGTTATTGTTATCACGATTATTCTTTAAAATAAAGTTATATAGTCATTAACGTTATTGAAACTGACAGCTGCTATACAGCTCGTTGAGAAATGAGGTTAAGTTGGTCGCTATAAGCTACTCCCTACGTCCAATGTGTCAGAGCCAACTTCGACCACGTTTTTATTTGAACGCTCGTTATAATCAGTAGTCTTTTCGATCTCAATTGAAGAACCAAGATGTTGGCAGTATGTACCAGGTTCGGTCGCTGACGCA